GTACTGGATAGTAAAAGTTTCATTTTGTGCGGATAGACAAATCGGCAACTGTTGCAGCACTCAACGACACACGGTTATCTGGGCAGCAGACAATAATTGCATCAATATCGGATCCCGAATGGGGGGCGATTCAACTCGCAACCTCAGGTACCAAAGGCGGTCGGGAATCTGAATTTGAGAATTTTATCAGGGTTTCACATTATTTCCCACTGAGTCGGGTGTAGCATAACGAGCCGGGCGGCAGTGGACTGCTATCTACCACGAGTGTAACCGATGGTGACAAGGTTTGCGCATATGAGAAGATAAAGTCTCATATCTCCCAACCACCTTCTGAGTATCACTAACTACTGAGCATCCATCGCCTATCGCTGATCAGAACTGTTTGCCATGGATGGTTTGTGAAAATGTGAATCTTTTAATGTCTCACTGCACGCGTATTTGCCAGTTCTGTCCTTTTTAATTTCATGGTCACATTACGAAAGGGCTAACTCACATGACCCAGGTCTTCCACTGAATCCAAAAATGACTTGGATCTGGTCAATAATCAATGTGACCAAGTGACACCCAGATACTCGAATATGAAGAAAGGTCCAGCAGTGCTTAGTGGTTCGCGTTCAAGGTTTTTTGAACAAACAAAGGAGGTACATCAAGACTAGTGTTAAAGACCTCCGTTGTGTTCGGATCACGGTATTTCAAGTCTTTATCTCCGGATTTGCAATCTGTTAAGTTCGATGGAAAGTAGTGGCGATTCAGCAGCTGTCACACGTGATACGGCCAAGTACAGCTTTGTAACCACGCACGCGGGTGAGCCTCAGCCAATCAGGATCGCCGCGGACAGATACGACAAGAACTCCCAGTGATTGGTCATCGTTGAGTCTACCAATTATTTCCCTTGATTAAACATATTTATTCAAACCAGTTTTGAAATGCAGTTAACGTGCTAATTAGCGGCATGTTTCTTTTCGGTACTTTCGTTCCCGTTGTTCTGGGTGGAGGTGATTCCAATAGGTTCTATCAGTTCAGTTCATTTTGATTACTACCACTCACTAACTGGTGGCACTGAAGACGGTCGGGCAAAGTTGTTCGCGCAACTGGTTTTATTGTACCAATATTTAATTAAGTTGAATTGTGGGTAGTCTGTTCTCACCCATTACTTATTCTGACACATCTGCTTTCGAACTGTCCCATTAATTAGTGCAAAAAATCGTTTATTTAGAATGTGCGGTGATCAGAACCAAATATTTGCATGAAAAGTTATTTATGCGCTGATATCCCTAAACGGCTCTCCTGATCTGTACGCCTGGTTGCACTCGGACCGACTAATACAGCTACTGCCGGTTGACACAATGATTGGTCACTGATTGGTCCACTAATTCGGTTGGCTGGTTCCACTCTTGTTTTCCATTCTGGACAACGGATGACGTGCCATCCGCCTTGCTGACTCCGACTTTGGTCACCATTCTGAACAAGCGATGACATGTTGTTTACCAATCAACTAGACAGTTTGTTGGCAATGCGCCTCACACAACTGGTGCTCGTTTCTTTTGTTATTCATGATTATAGTGAGAGATTGAAAGTTGACTGGAGTTCACCACTAGAGCTGTTGTTTCGAAAAAGCAGTTCGCTGATGACCGAGTCGGCTATAATCGAATGAATAATGGTTTACCGCACAGCACACATGTCCAGTTCTGACGAACTCCTTGGTCTGAGTTTGACCTAACTCGACCAAATCTCACGGAATTATAGCGAAACAGAAAATAGGAAACCAATAATCCAAAACAAGTTGATTACGTCACAGCTCTAGTCTAACAAGTCCGGTAGAACTAAATCTCCGACCAAAAAATAATTTGTTATGCTTTAGCTGCCCGTCGGCTGTTTTTTATCCGGACTAGATTCACTGGGGCGAGGAGAGATGTACATTTCTTGTGAAATGATTTACAATGGTATGAAGTGATCCAACTGATCACTAGAAGCACCATGTCTGTGAACAGCTGTTAGCCATGGCTTACTCGGGTCCGTCATCTGCAGCTCATAGACCTCGGGCCTAATCTGTGACTGCAGGTAATCCCGTTGTCATTCAGATTTGCCGCACTGTGACGCGGTCTATTTGGGTAATTCTCAGTCAATGAGTGCGCTGAGCTACAAATCTCATCGAAAGTTGTTTTATGCCATAATAATAATCAGAAAATGTTTGATTTTTCAGTAGTACGCAGATTATAAGTGTTGCACCCGTCTCGACGATTTATTGCCGCCGGAATTTAGGTCAAATGAACATTTGGTCACTGAACATTTGGTCGAGGCTCAGGACAAGGCCAGTGCTGAATTCTTTTTTTCCTGCCGCATCTCATCGCAAAGGCGAGTCATTTTGTTTACATACTGAAGTAGTCAAATGGATCAAGTGCTTTTCGCCTCAAAAAGGACAGAGGCTTGCTGTTTCAGCTGACTCTATATCCAAGTCTTGGGCTTTAGGAATTCTGTTGGACAGCTGTTTTGAGGTCAAAACAATTTGACTGCGGCGCATTTGAACTTTGTATCTTCGAAACCGGATCGAATAGCGAAACTCAAGCCTTTTCGTTTACAAATTCCTGATCAATGTATGCCTTTAAAACTACTGATATGCAGGTTTTAACAATTGATCCCGAGAAAGGCCAAGGGAACGGGCCACGCCCAATCCACTTTCCTAGAGTGCGACGTTTGACAAACTTGAGAGAATAATGTAGCTGAATCAAGGAAGCTCACTATATCTGGATTTTATTCCACTCACTTAACAGCAAACAATACACACACACACACGTAATCGTTCAAGCATTATTACAGACCAATGCGACAAGCATTTTGAACCAGCTGAGCTTCACTCGATCTTCACGAGTGTCTTCAAAGCGGACAAACACCTCTTCGAACATGATTCGATCTCCACGTATAGAGAAGCAAAATTTCCGGCTCTCCTGAAAACTGACTTTTTTCGACTGAACGTCATACTGTTTTATAGTGAGCAGTTTGTTTGTGTCTGTGCGGTAATCAGCAAACAGTATTGAAAAATTCATGAGACATATTATCCTTCTATGATCGCAAAAAAATTAACTCCGAGTCCGTACTCGAGCTGATGCGCCCCCTATTGGCTGCGCTATATTTTGTTGTCAACCTGATCGACCTCACTTTGGAATAATTCACAACACCAGCACATGTCACTCAGAATGGGCTACTTGAAAGAACCATTTACTCAGACTAAAGGTACAGCATGTTATGCTTTTCCAACCACAATCCGTTTTTGTGATAGCTGATCGAGACAAAGTTGGACTAGGAAAAGCAAGCAAGCCAGTTGGCAGACTTACCTTAGTCGCTCAAAGCCAAGGAAAATAACAGTTCCGTCAATAATCAATAAAAACATTCGGTCACATTTGGAAAGGATATCTTTTCTAACCAAGGTTCGGAAGTCTCGGATTGAGTTGAACACCTGTCTGACTTGTAACCAAGATTCTTGGTTAAATTAATGTATGTAAAATGAACTGGTTCCTTTTGAGAACTTTGAAAGCCTTCCTCAAGACAGAAAAAATTGCAAGTTGAAGGGTAGTGGCGCGATTACTAGCATCAAGTTTGAATCGTCTGGCAACTGTGAAGTTGTTTTCACTTTCACTTGTAACGGTGTTGCCCGCGTGGTTGTTGAATATCATTCTAAATTCTCGCGGTTTTGAGATACTGTAAACAATAATCCGTTCACAACTCCCTCTAGCCTCCAGAGGGACATCCACCTGTTCTTTTACGCTTTTATACCTTTCCTGATACCAGTACTATCTGACTATTTATTCATCGCTGTCCGTGATTTTACTCACGCGCTTATGAATTCACTACTTACCTTTGGTTTAACTGACCTCTGTCTTATCCCAACTAGAGAAAAGGCTGTTTTGGACGGAATTATCGTCAACCATCCCGCAATTTTTCAATTACAACTGGAAGCCCCTGTTTCAACGAGGTATTTTGCTCTTATTATCACCAGACCAACAATTTCTTCACGTTCAGAGCACTGTTTACTCGTCAGGACAGAATAAGCCAAGGTCATTCCTAAAAACCCGTCACCCACCAACAATACTCTTCTTCAAAGATCCCGATCCACTGTT